GTTTAGGGATGAGTGGGTTTAAGAGATTAAGAGTTTAAGAGTTTTTAAGAGTTTTAGCCAAATGCATTATAATATAGTATAGATATATATATATATATATATATATATATATATATATATATTAGAAGGGTAATCGTGCAATGCATCGAGCCACATCTCGATTTCAATGTTTGGTTTTATTCCTTTTTTATGTTGATATACTACAGTTTTATGTAGTTTTGAGAAAACGATAATGTTTTTATTTTTGAATAAAATAGAGATTTAAAAATAACATAAAAGTTTGAAAAAAAATATATCAGATATTAATATCAAATTAATTATTTAAAAGTTCTTGTTTCTTTGTGTAATTTTTTTAATGAAATTTTTTTTATTATAATTTAATTTAGGTTTAGTAACGAATTAATTTAATTTATGTTTAGTAATATAATCTTTTATGAAGATAATATTTAAGTATTTTTTTTAGATATCAATGATTATCTTAATTATATTTTAAATTTTTTTATATTTAAAATATGATGCTTATCATGTATTTGATTATTTTTATCTACAGTTAGTTACACGAATTCAAATATGAAGCTTTAATAAGTTGTACTTATATAGAATTTACTTGTAATCTTGAATTTTAAGTAATATGCATCAACAAACAGTACTTCGTGTATAAAAAATGGTTTTTAAGAGTTTTGGTCAAATGCTTTATAATATAGTATAGATATATATTAAAAGTGAAAATAAAAAGTATTTATTTTCAAATTTGATCCGATCATCCATTGGATGGATCCATTCCGATTAATATCGGTTGGATCCAATCTTATCCGATGTATATCCAATAAAAATGTCAAATTGATGGAACTGAATTGATCCAGTCAATTGAATCGGTTATCTAATGTTAATTGGATAGAATTTGTTGGGAAAATCTAACATCCAACGAATAATTGGATCGATTCGATTCCCCACACATTTATTGAATGTCAGTCGTTGAACAAACCTGTTTTTAAAGCCCAAAACAAACAAATGACATATGCATGGTCCCACGTATTTCATCTTGTTTCGTTGAAGTACGGTCTTGAAAAGAAAAAGAAGTCAATGGCAAATTTTATTTAAAAAAATAAATAAAAACAAATATGCGAATTAAAAGGAGGTTTAAAATTCATTCATATACACCAATCACATAAAATATTTATGGAAATGATAAAAGTTTATTTTTTATTATTTGAATATTAATAAAAGATTATAATAATTTATTAATTAATATAAATATTTTATATTTAAAAAAACAATCGAAATATTTATAAAATTAAATATTTATTGAAATATATAAACAGTTGAGATTCATTGGAAACCCCTTTTATCCTACTTTCTTTAACTGTTTAGTTAAAAAAACATCATTTAATATAACACATACTCTAACAATTTTTTCAGTAAATTACGTTTTTCGTCCTTCTCGTTTGTTAAAAAATTCAGATTTTGTCCCTATTGTTTCAAATATTCAGTTTTCATCCCTATAGTTTATAATTTATTTTTATTTCCATGAGTGCAAAACACTACCTTTAAGTACGACGAACTGAAATATAAATGAAATATCCTTAATTATCGAAAATAAATGATTCATATTGGATCTCACGGTTATCATAAACTACAAAATTCTCAGTTGAGTAGAACAGGTTCAGTTATTAGAATTGTCGGTTGTTTTAAATTACAATGAATGAAATTATTGGCTTTTGACTAATGGTTTCCTAATCAAACATTAAAGAAACTATTATTTGACTATGATGAAATGTTGATAGTAACAATAAACTATAAATAATGAAACAAAAGTTATTTGAAAATGACAATATAAATAATTCATCCTGCTCGTTATTTTAAGGGCAAATTCCATGAAAAGGTAATGTATTTTAACTTGATTTATGTTGTGAGTAACGTACTTTTAAAACTTTCATTTTGGTATCGAAGATGTAAAGTTTTAAACATTTAAGTACCCGAGTAACCAGTTGAAGCATTAACCGGTTATCATGCTGATGTGGTATCCAATTCAGTTTTATTTGTTGACGTGGTTAGTGACGTGAATTTTTTTAATCTAAATTTAGTCTTCAACCAGTTATTCGGGTAATTAAATGTTTAAAACTTTACATCTTACGTATTAAAATGAAAGTTTTGAAAATATGTTACCTAAAATGAAAATCAAGTTAAAGTACGTTACTTTTTCATGCAATTTGCCCTTCTTTAATATATTTTTATAAATATCTAATACTAATTTATTTATTTTTTATTATTTCAAATTAAATTTTTTGATTTTGATCTTTACTTTTGTTTGTTTGTTTATAAATTATATTAGATAATTTTTTTTAAATAAATTAGTAATTAAATATTTTCATTAAATAATGTTTTATAATATTTTTTTTTGAAGAGAAGTTATTTGGAGTGGTTGGTTAAAAGGATAATGTGATATATAATGTATGTGTTCAACAAATTATAATTTAAATAATTTTTTATTTTATTATAAAAATATTCAAACTGAACTGACGAATGTATATGAAAACCAAACCGAATAGATAACTTATCATAAAGATTTTTCAGGGTTATTATAGTTTTAGTATAATGTTATCACTTATCAGTAATAAATCTGAGTTTGGAAGGAATAATTTATCTGAGTATGTAATTTTGTATTGTCACACTTGAGGGAATAATTTATCTGAGTTGTCATTGATTAAGGAACAATTAGTAGCCATGTTAGTGTTGTAAATAAAGAATGTTGGTTCTCCTTTTGTGAGAAAAAAACCTTAGTCCCCCTTCGATATCTATATTGGTTGGAGAAGGAAACTAAGGTTGCCTTATAAAAGACTGAATACCTCATCTATCAAATGTATTTTAAAATCGTGAGTTCAGGTATAGACAAAAGCAGACAATATTTGAAATGATTAGCCTCTGGAAATGTTACACCAGTTATATCATACTCATCTGATGCAAACTCTATTCAGCTCAATCATAAAATGTCAACACGTTTGGTTAATTCAAATCTGGTACTTGAGTTTTCGCCATTACATCACCATGAACAGCAGAATAGGCTTGACACTCATCTCCACCTTTGCCATCTGTCGCTACCAATGTGATACCACTCATCTACACTGAAATCTCCTTACTTATTTCTTTATTAAGAAATCTGATCTTTGTCCTTTAAAATAAAAAAAACTACAGAAAATACAAACCCAATACACTGAATCCACATTATTTAACACTGTGTAGTTCCCAGAGCTCACGTACCTTTATCTATACTATATTGTAAAGCATTTAATAAAAACTCTTAAAAATCATTTTTTATGCATGAAGTACTGATTATTGATGCATATTACCTAAAATTCAAGATTACAAATGATTTTGTGTAAGTACAATTTATTAAAGCTTTATTTTTAAATTCGTGTAACTAACTGCAGATAAACATAATCAAATACAGGATAAACATCTATTTTAAATATAGAAAATCTAAAATATAATTAAGATAATCATTGAGTTTCTAACCGAATGTTTAATTATTATCTTTAATAAAAAATATATTATTAAACCAAAAATAAATTACTTTGTTATTAGACCTAAATTAAATTATAATAAAAGATTAAATTAAAAAAGTTACACCAAGAAAACAAAAACTATTAGATAGTTAATTTGATACTAATATCGATTTTTATTTTTATTTTTTATGCTATTCTCAAATTTATATTTCATTCAAAAATAAAAATATTATCGTTTTCTAAAAATTACATAAAATCGTATTATATCGATAGAGAAAAATAATAAAAACTAAACATTTAAATGGAGATTTATCTCGCTGCGTTGCGCGAGTACCCTTCTAGTAATCTCTAACTCTTTCAAAAAACATAAAATTAAAGTAATATTTAAAAAATAAAGTATTGTTACCTAAATTAAGACAGGTCTCGGTTTCACTCTTAGACCCTCTTGATTAGTCTCGGTTGTTGAGTGAGACTAGTTGGTGTTGCCGGTTGCGGGTAATCAACTTTTTGTAGGTTGGTTTGATGTGGGAACGGTTGATATTGTCGGTAATCAACTTTTTGTTCAAAAGAAACGAAAAAGCCTAAAGATATTGAGAACAAGCGAGAGATGAATGGCGATAACCGGACTTTGTCCAGGTAATTAGAGGTAATAATCAACCTAAATGTCGAATTGTTTCATGGCATTCTGAACTCAGCTCACGTACTGCTTTAATGAACGAACAACTCAACCCTTGGAACATACTACAAAGTACAACCCCAAGTGGCAAAGAGCCGACATCGAGGTGCCAAAACTTCAGATGTCAATTAGATCTTGAAAATATTATTGAACACTTGATATAAAGTCGCATTACCTTACCGGATGAATATGATAAAGACCAAGTATCTTATCCGGTAAGAGCCAAACAAGGACCAAAAGTCTTACCCGATAAGTGGCGTCGATGACTCTTACCACTTGCATACGATGTCATTTTGGTGGTCTAAAATCTTAACTTGTAAGTTATTAACAGTGTTAAATTTTACCGATAAACGCTTATTAGGTAAGTGTTTGATAAAAGAACCCTAATTATTTAGTTTACTAATTACGAGAAATATTTTCTTCAGATGTCAATCAGATCTTGAAAATATTATTGAACACTTGTCAATTTATGAAGCTGGCAGAGATGTGGGTATTGGATGCGATCGCAGTGCGTTCCAGCCCTTTTCGACGTTTCAATTAAACTGCTCGTTTTCTTCCCCATTTTCTCCTCAAAATCAAATCGAAGAGACGTCCTTTTCTTCTCTGTACTCTCTCCTTAGTCATGAGCCTCTTCGGTCTCGGCAGGCAAGACACCTTTATTCAGTTCTGCATCGTTGAGTTTTGAGGATTTCAATCAGATTTTTGTTGATTTTTCTTATGTGTATGATGATTTAAGATGCATTGCGTTGACTTTCTTGATCTGGGTATCTCTAATTCATTGTGATTATGATCAGTTTTGCCTTTTTAGATTGAGTTAATGCTCAATTACTTCTTTTACCTTCCCTTCGCTCCAAAAAGAATGAAATTCGGTCGGTATTGATTTCGTTTCAACTTGGAACGAATACCAAGTTTTTGATAAACTAATCGAATACACTAAAATTGATCTCATTCACTGAAAAAAGACAAGGATATCCATATGAATTCTGAAATTGGGAAGTCATAGGTCAGGATTTGATTCCTTTCGGGATTGGGGGAGTTTGTGTTTGGAATATTAATATTAGGGATCATAGAGTGCTGAAGCTCATTGGGACTTGGAATAGTTGTGATTTGCTAGCTTAGATGATTTGCCATAGAGGATTATTTGATTTGGGTATTTGTTGAATCGTGTGAAATGATTGGTTTGATCAAGTTTGGGGGAAAATTTATTGTAAAATTGTTTATAATTGGATCATGAAAGTAATTGTCTAAAAAGGGGTTTTGGTAGTTGTGACTTTTGGCTCACCATATGACTGTGGAAATGCTAAAGAAGTTTCCAAGATGATGATGCAGTTTGGTCGTTCTCTCTATTACTGTATTCAGTTTATTATAACCTGTTTGTTGAAATCATGTTGGAGTTCTTCACTTCCAAATTGTTGCCCATGTGCAAGCCCAAGTATGAGATGAAATGGGTTGAAAGAACTTTTAATTAGCACATTAGTGTAATATTTTGCTTGTATGTTGGTTTTGATTGCCACTTTTATAGAAGTGAGATGTTTCTTTTATATAAGATGTTACTCATTGTATTCTGATGGATGTTAGCAAAGGTTGAATATAACCCATCACAATATCCTAAAACTCATTTCTTTTAAATTATTGCATCAAGCTGTTACGTTCTTGGAACATTTCTTAAAATGTCTAACCACAAGGACTAGAACTATAGAACTCCCAATTTCCAATCATTAGTAGAAAATATTAGCTATAGAATTCCCATGAATTGTTAGTAATCATAATTCTATAGTTGAAAATGAAGATATCAAGCTGCACTTGATATCACTTTCCGTCTCAAAAGATTTTCCATATAACCCATTGGGGGTTTTGGTTGATGGATCCTTTGCAGCTTCTCTTGGGATTCTGCATAATAATCTTATAACCATCCAACTCTATCATATGCTAGAGAGTGAGATTCACAATGAATAGTACAAGGACGTACTCCTTACCCTTGAGGGCCAGCTCAACCGGCAAACAAAGGCTAGGCGCCTAGGCCTTGGGGTTCAGGAAACATCCTTTTCACATGACCAAGCAAACTCTAGGCCTTTTGGCCAGCAGACATGGCCTCAAGTACCGATTGCACCTAGTTGTATTCAAACCTTTGGCTTGATGTTTCATGAGGCACCAAGTGACCATAAGAATGTCATTAACCCAACTTGTTGGAATTCGATAAGTGTGGTATAGATGTATTTAGTGCAGAAATGAAACTTTTCATGTCCACTAGAAATGACGGTTGGATATTGACATTTCTTTTTGAACATTAAGGTTTTAGATCTTTGTTCTTTCTGTATGACCAGGCATTATAAACTTCAGTTGTCATTCTTTTATTGTTTATATTTCAAAATGGCACGCTTTATTTAGTTCTTAGTAAATAGTTATTGTTATTGTGGCAATTTTTGACAGGAATCAGAGGACATTTCGTCCAAAAAAGAGTGCACCCTCCGGGAGTAAGGTTAAACTCTCTCTCTCTCTCTCTCTCTCTCTCTATCTCTATTTGTGGCGATTGATTTTATGAGAAATTATTTCTTAATATTGCAATTGAAATATGTCCTTTTTTCACTGCAAAAATTAGTTTTTTAGGGATTTTAGCATCCACCATTACAAAAGAACAAGGATTATTGTGGCTAAAGTTGCTGCTAGTTGCCTTGATTCGCTCGAATGACTTAGAGGCAAATCCATGTCAGGTCCTTTGATTAAATGACCTCCTGTTACGTTTTTCTAAAGCCATGATCTGTAGACATGTTTGAGAACGTCACTAATTTACATAAGAATGTTGCTCTCATACACAAGAATGCCTAGAAACTTGTCAGAAGATAAGGGATTAAAAAAAAACACTTGTCAGGAGGCCATTCAGCTAAATTACCCAATCCAAGCCACGTCACAACCATACAGTTTTACTTCCAAGAACGTTTGTAGTTTCACTATGTTTTCGTTGTTCTGATTTGTGCTAGTGCATTAGTATACCAACTATTAGATGAAAATTTCCTTCAAGCATGCACTTACATAGCTAATACTTACCTTTTGGTTTTCTATTCGTATAGGTAGAGGAAAATCTTGAAATTTTCATTTTATTTTACAGGGGGCACAACTAAGACAACACATTGATGCTACTTTGGGTAGTGGGAACCTAAGAGAAGCCGTGAGACTTCCTCCTGGGGAGGATATAAATGAATGGCTTGCCGTTAATAGTTAATCTCCTTCTCTTTCTCTCCTTGTGAGATCTAGAATTTTGTAAAGTGAAGAGTTTAATGCTGTGTTTTTAGCTCTATTAGCTTTACAAGAATGTGAATTTCTCCCCCCATTGGACGTAACCCTTCCTTTGAAAAAAAATCGACAATATTGTTAGATTACCACATTGGCTAGACTTGGACCATTTCACTTCCTATATATGTTGTACCCCCTCCCTAAGGGCTCTTTTGGAAAGTAATCTAATATTCTCCAAGGTATTAGAGCCAAGGCTACCACTCTAGGGACTCAACTCTCCGGGCAATTTGTACTCGTCTAGCCCCCTCTCGACACTCTGGGACAATTTGTGCCCGTCTAGCCTCCTAGGGGCATGTTAAAATCCTACATCAGTTAGACTTGGACCGTTTTTCCTCGATATACGTTGGAACCTCCCTTCTCTCAAAGGCTCTTTTTGGAGAGTAATCTAATGGGGTTCCACATATTCTCACAAATATCGTGGAGTAGTTTATGTTTCATGATGAATTTACATAGTTCAATCATACAGTTATTAAATATACAGTGGTGGTCCCTTTATAACTGCAGCGTTATAATGAATGGGACTCTGAGTTCTTTTGACTCATTTGTCAAAGTTATAGATTGTCCATGAACTACCTGTGGATGTATGCTTTGGCCAATTTTTCCTCTCCATTATACCAATATGCCCACTTCAAAAGAAGTGTGCATATTTTTTTATTGTCTAGATTGATGCAATGATCTTCATTATTTGAATCTAAACGAAGGTGGTTTGATTTCTGACTTGGATTTTTTTTATTTTCAGCTGTGGATTTTTTCAACCAGGTGAATCTTCTTTATGGCACCCTGACTGAATTCTGTACACCGGAGATTTGCCCAACTATGACTGCGGGTCCCAAGTATGTCTTAGCGATATACTACTACTTTTGCTATCACATCATCTCCTGTAATCCTATAATTTTTAAATTTTAGTAGTCTGAATATAAATCTTCAAGATTGGTCTTTATGAACGCCGCAATATTTTCAATTTTGACCAAAGCATTGAAGTTTGTGTCTACCTATATAGCACAAGCAACAGTTCATTATTTATTAAGATATAGGATTCCTATATTTACGTTAATATAACTTTCAGGTATGAATACCGATGGGCAGATGGTGTGCAAATCAAGAAGCCTATTGAAGTCTCGGCTCCAAAATACGTTGAGTTCTTGATGGATTGGATTGAATCACAGTTGGATGATGAATCCATATTTCCCCAAAGGCTTGGTAATCTCTTGTGTTCTACTTTATGTCAATAATGCACTCCTAATACACAGTTTTGTTCTTAGGCTCCCTTTAATGCATGAAAACTACAACAGTTCCCATTTTCTAACGTCACATCCATATTAAACATATAACAAATATTCAAATAAAATCATGTCACTGAAGTTTGTGCACATCTCGACTAATCCCATTGGGCCCTAAAGTTAACAGCCAGGCAAACTCACTCTCTCTGGTGGCCATGGGGCACTTGAATTGTTGACGTTTGAGGAGCAAACCCAAGATCTTACCAATTGAGCTACCCCTTAGGGTTAAGCCAAGGAGACCTTGGTGCACTGGGGTTGCACTTTGGTGGTTAGTTTCTTGGCCATTGTGAATGAGTGGCACCTTTGGCTACTTATCTTTTGGTTTATAAATTGTAACAATCATTTTGACATACCTTGCAGGTGCGCCATTCCCCGCCAATTTCAGGGATGTTGTGAAAACAATATTTAAACGTTTGTTTCGTGTATATGCTCATATCTACCATACACACTTTCAGAAGATTGTGAGTCTTAAAGAAGAAGCCCATCTAAACACATGTTTCAAGCATTTCATATTGTTTACATGTGTAAGTCTTCTCCAAACTCATCAACAGTCTTTTGTATTTCCTGCTACTGTTTAATTTAAGCCCACTCTTAGTATAAAATTAGCATTCATAAAGGGCATTGTTGGAATTTTCCTATTTGTACTAGTCTATTTAGAAGTGAATAATACCCTCAATGAATACCAAGTGAAATGCCAATAATACCCTCAATGAATGCTAATATTATACTAATCTGTATCTAACAATATATATATATATATATATATAGGAAGGTTTACATGAGAACTACAAAAATTTTGAGAACCAAGGAACATATATATTCATTGATGCATATAGACTATCAAAATATTTCGTAATGAATATATTCATCGATACCTATCTACTATGCATGTAAGTATATATGCATTGATGCATATAGTCACTGAAATTCATTAGCATACATGCATCAATGAATATATAGGTTCTCCAGTTCTTAATTTTTTTGTGATTCTCAGATGAACCACCCCCCATATATATATATATATATATATATATATATATTATTTATCTAATAGCCATAGGTTACTGAAAACAATAGTGTTTCTATACGCAGGAGTTTTCATTGATCGACAAGAAGGAGCTAGCTCCACTTCACGAGCTTATAGATTCCATCGTCACTTATTGAAAAACATTAGTAACCATTAAACTATGATTTTATTTGAGAATTGAATAAGGGTGGTGTGGTTACAAATGTTGTCGTTGATGTTATCTAATGTAACTAGTATTGTTTACTGGCTTGTATGGTTTTTAGTTGATAATGCATAAGTTTCAAACAAGAATGGAAAATAAGGTGTTGTGAACCAAGTTTTCACCCTCATCTTATGTTTGATTTCATTTTTAGCCATTCCTGCATTTAAAAGAACAAATATGATATCACATTGGTTTTTTGATCATTTTTTCATATATGTGATCATTTACGGCCCGGGAATAACCTATTTTTCCCTAACGGGCCTAATATCGCAGACCCAAGCCCACACCTAAGCCCAAGTGGGATTGATAACTTGTTCATGCCTACCATTTAAATTGGGAGTTGGGAAACCATCCAAAGTTTTAATTAATTATATAATTATAAAAATACGAATAAACTGGGTGAGTTTGTCCACAAAGTTTTCACCCTCATGTCCATCCATTAATCTTAATGGGTCAAGTTCATGTTTGTCCATTTTTTTGAAAACAATTGTCAAAGCCCACTTTTCTATTGAACTAGGTTTAACAGGCCATCCTGTCTATAAACAACTGTTGTTAGTATTGTGGTCTTGCTTTGAGTTCTAAAATTTGATATTCCTGAAGAGTCTCTCTACTCATGTCCAATCAAGAACAAGATTTAAATGATAAAGATAGAGGGAGACAGATTCAAATAAGATGGTACAAAAAGGGTCAAATCACATGATTTACACTAAACTCATGTGTAAAATCACACATAATTATGCAAGACCTAGGTCATGAGCCAAGTCTCCCGCACACCTTTATTTTGATCATGTTCCATAATCAGATGTAATTTCAATGCAAAATTGACATGTGATTTGACCGTTCTCGTGTTGTTGTCATGTTCTCCTTTGATCCCCTCTCTATATATACATATACCGTTTCATAATTCAGTTCCAGTTCAAACTCCATCCAACCAAATGCAGTACCAATTCAATTTAATAAAAAAAATATATATCAGAAAAAAAAGTAGATGGAAAAGTACAAATTGAGAGTGTCAAATCTACACCTGATCTTATGCAGATAATCTGCTACTACATCAAAAAAGTTGAAACTTCAACACAATTATAATTGCTCATGAAATCCATCATCAGGTGTCATATGCAGCATTCTGAACTCACCCTTCCCAGACCTTTTATCCGCTAAAATGTATGATCCCGCCACACCAGCAAGAACCAAGAAAACAAGCCCAAATATCTGCAAGTTAGCCAGCAACTGCCCGCGAACCTCGTGATCATGAGAGGAACACGTGATTTCATTCAAGTTGAGCTTACACCCAGTTGGCATCATGGGCCCATAGAGCGAAAATGCCGTTTGATAAAACCACAGGCCTTGAAGGGTTATAGCAATGCCGCTGCACAGATCAGCAGGGAGGCTTGTGGGCACGATGGCCCCACAAACAATCGACAATATGCATAGGGATACGAGTAGAACAAGGAGGAGATGGTAGTGTCCCTCTAGACCTTTGTGTGTCGTTGAATGAAAGAAGAATAAGAGGTATTCTGCACAGAATGCTGTGGCTGATATTAAGCACAGAGCGCCTTCTGGTAACGGAAGGAAGCTGAAAATGACCAAAAAAAGGTCAAAAGTCAAGAATTTTAAAATGTAGAAATCTTGATACCGATATGCATTAAACAACAGCATTGATATTGGCTATAACGATCATAATGTTTACTTTTGCATAACATAAATCACGAGGGAGAAGATGCAGATAAGAGAAAAGTGTACGAGATCAGGTTTGCATACATCCCACCCCCACACCCCACATCCGGGTGCGATATACTGAGCTCATTTGGTTTGGTTTTATGTAAATTAGTGAGTGCTAGGTCTGTGGTTCAACTCTAAGACACCACCCACCTGCCTATGGGACCTTTAAATTAGGCGTATGACCTTCTAAAGTCTTTTTTAGTTCGATGACCTTTAAGCAGCCTGCCTCTAATTCAAAACAGCTTAGCTATACACTACCTATACATACATATAGGTATACTAGCTAGCTATATATATGCATAGTTATATATACACACACATGTAAGCAAATAGACATATGCACATATATACATACATTCATATACATATACATATGTATCGTCTGTATGCAAGCTATAATAGAATGAGTTCTATATTTATCCGTATACACTTGTATGCAATAGATAGTAATCTGAGTGCATCAAACAACAAGGGTGTGCCTCAGACTTGTTCAAATGAAGTTATCCATGCCACTCTGCGATCATAAATTGTTTCATTTTCATAGAATTACAAGATACTTGAAATAAATTGAAAAAATTAACAAAAGAACAAATATTTGTCGGCAAAATGCAAAAGGGTATGCACCAAAAGTAGTATCTAATGTGCTTTGCGCGTATAGATATGGATGTCACATTCATAACATGATAGACACACGTTAGAAACCATTTACGTGGTAGTGGGTCCCACTTAAAGTTACAAGGCATGGCAGCTACTTATACTATCAATATGTCATGTACAAATAGACATACATTTTGACATTTCCCAAATTAAACAGGTTACTTTTCAACTTAAAACTCTCATTGATCCTAAACTTAATAACACTTGCTACAAATTCCAAAAACTTTGATCACAATTGTAACAGAATTCGACATTAAAAAGTATAAGCGATGAATAAAATGAATGGAAGAGCAACTGTGGATGATAAAGACTGACCTGGTCTTTTCAGAGAGCAAAGCAATGATACTGAAGACAAAGAACATCAGAAGCATTCCACCGTGCTCAAAATCATTCATATGATGTGGGTTCAAGACACCATTAACAAAGAACTTAAGGTGGGTCGAATATAAAAGCTCTATACACATATCAATAAAAGCTCCAACTGCTATAACATAAAGCTCCAAGTACTTCAATTTCCCATTGAAACCTGGAACAGGATTCCAAACTCTAACTCGAAATGATTTCGGGTCTGCTGCATAACGGACCACTGTGCACCATATATGCCATACACCAACCACAAGAAACAGTGTCCCTGGAACCACATGTCCAGCAAAAGATCCCATTTCTCTGTATCTCTCAACACTAATTCTGTACCCTAAGCTTTTCAACTTTTCGCCCTCAAGAATTTTCTTCAAGAATTGCAAAAAAGAGCAGGGATTTGAGATGGGTTCTTTGATAATCGAAGAAACAGATTGCAAGATGAAATTATTTCACCCTTCTCTCAACCAATTTTAGGAATCTTGAAATACCCAAACCAAAGATAGCTATCAACCTTGTTTCTTTCAAGACTTTCAGCCCATTTAATCAATTCCTGTTTCAACAAATTGAATTCTTTAGTCAAAAATTCCCCATGTTATTATCACTTAGAAGACTTCAGGGAAGTTTCTTGTTGACATTTGATTATTAAAAGTCAACCCAGTACGAAAATAAAAAATGGAAGCTTGAAATCAAGAAACATACAGATCTTTAAAATGAATACCCACAAAACTACCGATTATTACATTACAACTAGGGTAAATTCTTCACGCATTGTTATTATTGCGCAATCGAAGAAATCTCATAATAGCTTCGTGTACATCAGGCCAAAAGTCAAAACTATGGCCAAAAGAACAAAGGGAATCTTGAAATCAAGAAACAAGCAGATCATGTAAATCGAAAACCCATCAACAAAAAGGTGATTGATTACATGAACGAGGAAATCATGAAGTTTTGAAAAGGGAAATGAACTTACACATGGGTAATATCGAAAGTGTGATTGATACTTGTTTATGATTATGATTACGATCCAAAAAGCTTTACTCAAATCAAGATTGCGAAGATGGGTATGAAAGAAAAATGATTATGGAGGAAGGAGGTGGGATCGGGATGATAGCCTTCTGTGCAAAAAAGGAAAACCGACAAAAAGAGAAATGGCAGCTTAAAAGTTTTCAATTATGGCTGCCCTCTCACATTTTGATGTGTATTTCTTCTAGCAAATGGTGTTTTGGGTCCCACGCCTTCGTTAGCCCGAAAACATTTACTTCTGGTTCCAATTTTACCGGTTCCAACTGGTTAGATACGGCAGAAAGATCATAATGCATATTTACATGATATCATGAATGATTGGTTTAATAATTATTGAATGGTTTGGTGCAAAATTAAATTAAGTGATCAGAATGATTAAGAGACTTTTATGATATAGTGTAAAATGAAATATAATTGTTTGATAATTGTGTATAATGGAATTAGGGCTCTTAATGGTTAAGGAGATCCATGATACAAAATCATTCAGATGGTTTTGGTATCATTAAGAGGCAGATTTTTTTATCAAACAAGATTCACCTCTTAACGATTCAAAGTTGTCTCTTAATGAAATTATTAAGAGGTAAACAAACAACCCCTGAGACAATCTTTCTTGATTGGCTCTTTCGGTGACGGGTAGAGAATTTTTATCGAGATATGCATTTTTAAGATGAATCAAAGACTTGTAAAGTCGTGTGGAAGTGTTTGTAGCAATTCCACCTTTTCGAGAGAATTTTTAAGTTTTTTTTATTGATTTTGATGGACTTTCATTTTGTATTTTTGTTGATTTCAAATGATTTTTTTGATTGATCTTCATCGTATTTTTTAATGTCGCGGAGTACCCCTCAAAGTTACTAGGATGCATCTTTCATACTAAAAAGGTAAACCTATGAAAATCGGTTGAGCGGGTGTACAAGACCCTGCTCAGGTCTTCATACGTTCATCCCTGAACTTTGTCTTATGGTTTACGGATTCATTGGAATCTGACATAATTCAAGGGTACTGAAATGACGGATTCCTTTGATGAAATTTTGTTGGTTTGTTTAATCAACAAAGTCCATTCACTGAGAACAACATAAATCCAGTTGGGAAATTAAATCTATAAGGTCTTGTTTGGTTTGTAAGACTGGATGAGATTTATGGGGTTTTGGAATTTAATTTCATTCCAATCTCATGTTTGGTTTGAAAGATTACTTATATTTGAAATCCCAGATTCCATTGAAATCCCACAAACATGAGATTTAGAAAATCTTACAGGGATTGTTGGTATTTCGTGAAATTTCACAGGATTTGTGTGTATTAATGTTTTAAAATATATAGAAAATGTTTGCTTTATAATAATCAATTAATAAAAGGGTAATTTAATTTTATATAATTAGTGATAATTTTCTTTTTATAAATTATTTATAACAAAAATGGAATTCAAATTCATCTCAAATGTTACAAACTAAACACACCAAAAATTTCAAATCCACTCCATCCAATTGCATATCATTCCACGAAATCCAAATTTCTCAAAATCGTTCCATCAAACCAAACGCCCCCTAATTCTTTATACGTTTTCATGATTACGGTAGATCAACGTCGATGATCGCAAGTAGACTTCCAATTCATGTTAAAGAAACATGATGTGTATTTGATGTTATTAAACGAATGACGAAAGATCATGTGAGAAAGAAAGTTAAGTTGAGAAGCATAAGAAGGGTGTAACACCCTAAAACTTAAAACATTTCATACCACTTGAAATTTCCATAAACATAAAGTGGCTTAAAACGATGAAGGGAAAGTATAAAATTCAAGAACTGAGACATGAATAACAGCCTAATAATCTATATATATATATATATATATATATATATATATATATATATATATATATATGGAGAAACCAAGGTTGATGACTTGGCTTCTCCTAAGGGTTGAAAACTTATTTATCTTTTTTTTCATTCATCCTCCTTTAATCTTTTTTTTAATTTCACATTCTAATTTTTATAAACATTGATTATCATTTATGTTTGCATTTAACACAATCTTTTNATCTATATATATATATATATATATATATATATATATATATATATATATATTAAAGGAGAAACCAAGGTTGATGACTTGGCTTCTCCTAAGGGTTGAAAACTTATTTATCTTTTTTTTCATTCATCCTCCTTTAATCTTTTTTTTAATTTCACATTCTAATTTTTATAAACATTGATTATCATTTATGTTTGCATTTAACACAATCTTTTCATTTTCTCTAACTCTTCTTCATAAATTGTTCATCATTCAATCTCTTTTTTTCCATCTCCATCACTTGATTTGTTTTCATTTCATTTTTCCCATCTCTATCACTTGATTTGTTTTTTCATTTTTATAAATTGTTATTTTTCACCAGATCTATTTTCAAGTTTATTTCGAGAAGACCAATTCAGGTATGCGTTCCTTTCTATTTTTTTGGGATTTTAGAATTTTGTTTTTTTTTTACTTTTATCTTCTATGATTTTCCTAAGTTTTTTCAATGAAATGAAGAGTTTGTTTTTGACGCACTTTTAGAGTTTTCATGGCAACAATGGTTCGATTAATCGTCTGATGATAGAATCTTGAAAGTATTACAAACCATAAAGTAGTCTCAACAAATTTCAACATATTTTTGTAATGGTTATCTTTTTCAAGTATACTTTGAGAAAACTAATGTGTGTATATATTTCTTTTGACTTTTGTTGGTATTTTTTAAGTTTTTATGTTACAATTTTTCATGTAGCATCACCAAACTTCAACATGCTCTTTTTAATGGTTATATTTTTTTTCCAGGTTTATTTCGAGACAATTATTCCGAGTATGCAATTCTTCTTAATTTTGTTAGAATTTTAGAGGTTTTCTTTAACTAATGTCTTCTACATTTTTCTTAAGTTTTTTTTCCCAATAGAACCAACAATATGTTTTTAACAATTGTTTTAGAGTTTGGTTGACAACAACTACTCCTCATGGAATATTGAGAAACCAAGTTTAATGAAAAACCATTTTTCATATTCATCTTTTATTTTCTCATTCTTATTTWACATTAAAATGTTTTCAACATACAATTGTTGAAACTTTTTTATCAAATTCTATTTATTTTAAAATATTTTCAACCGCATTAATCGTTAAAAGATTTCATTTTTGTAATTTAAATAATATATATATATATATATATATGTATTAAAAGAACAACCAATAATTATAAGGTGGATTCATATATCAAAGATAATATTGATTCTTATTAGTTTAATATATAAATATGATCATCGACTAATTTAACTAACTTCAATAATTTTAAAAAGGATTATTGTCACCATGCAACGCATGGTGTCAAACACTAGTATGATTTAAAAAGGAACTAGATTACAGTCGGGTGTTATTCTATCTTCCGATTATTCAACATCCACTACAGTGTTTCCCAAAACGTCATCAACCAAGTCCCTTAGGCGGTTTTAGATCCGCCACTAGCAAGACCTAGAAATCATATAATCAAGAACAAGTGTTAGGCTTAACGGCTAGTGAGATCACACACAAAAATAACTCTTAAGGTAGATATGAGAAATAAATTGAAAGTGTTACCCGACCCGCGGTAGTGGTACAATACCGTGTACCACAACAAGTTGTCCCTACCTGGGCATTATACACAGGAAATATCTCTCGATGTCAGGGGAGACCCGTTTCCATCAATGTTGCGGGAACACAAAAGTATTGCCACATAATGATGTCATTGGGACTACACCTCAGGTTCATGGTTTTAGTGCACATCCCATTCATTAAATATTGTTTAATACGTCTGATTAAACACCCCTAAATATTCGGTTTCTTTTATTTTCATTTTCATTAATTACTGTTTAATACGTCTGATTTAGAGGTGATCATTTGCGGGCACAAGTTGGGGCTAGGTCGGGCCTAACTTGTTTTTTTGGTCCAACAAGGTCTAATATTGTAAATCCAAGCCTTTTTTTTGGGGCTTGACAACTTGTTACTGCTCGCCCTATAAACGTGCTAATGGACCTCAAAAGTGTAACTATTAATTAACAAATGTGGAACCAAAAAGTAAAGGAAAAACACCTCTGCAATTAAAAACTTTAAGCAACTACCGACTCTATCAATTGTTGATCAATTAGAACTTTTGACATAAAAATGCTAACAAAAATAATGTAGAGCCTTTTCGGTTCTCAAGAAAAACCAAAGAGTTTTAACACTCGTCCTAAAACTTTAATAACTTAATTTTAAAATATACTACTATAATTTTAATTAATGGTAAAAAAATATTAATTATAAAAGATAAACGGGTCGAACGGGTCTGTTCATATTTGACTTTACATTGTCCATGTTCATCCGTTAATTTTAACGAACAAACCTGGACCCGTTTATGGATTGTCTAAACCCGTATTTCTAGCGGGCCGGATGGACCGGGTCTAACGGGTAGTCCCGCCATGAACAGCTTGGTGACCGATTAAACACCCCTAAATAGTCGGTTCACAAAAACCTCCAAGATTTTCGTTTTCTCCGTTATAAAATAATCGTTGGAGATAGGGTTTCCCACCGTTGATTAAATTATGAGATGATCCAAGCACCCAAAGGCGCATGGTGGTTTACGACCTCCCACAAAATCAAACCAATCATAATCCACCGTCACGCACATCGGACCACTCGCCGGCCAACATCATCAATCTGTAAATCGGTGACAGGAGATAAGTTTTACGTCTACCTACAAACACAATGTCGTAATATAACAAGCATACGTATGTAAAGAAGTATAGTTTTGACTTGCACTTTAATTTGCAGGCGGATTTTGAACTTATATCACAATTGATCAGCGAATCAGTGGAGTGAAGAGATATAGGGAGAAAATTTCTAGTCGGTTTGAATATGCAAATGTGGGATATATGTGTAGGTTTTTGGGGGTTTGCGAGCAATGATGGCGAACATTGATTAATTAAGGATCAGAATAAAAGCTCCAGATGTCGATTTTGAAGTTAATATATGGCGTGTGGATGGTGCCGTGAAGAGGAAGATTGGAAATCTTTCGTTCATATGCGGTATTTGGATCGGTGAGTCGGGATCGCGAGCGTATTACAAGAGGAAAGAAGTATGTGGATGATATGGTAAT